GTTTCATGCAGGGAGATCTGAATGACATCAAAACAAACTAGCTTAGGCATGAGAAGCAGTACAGTCACATTAGCCTGGTGTTGCTCTGACGCTTTCTTTGAGTCAAAGGGAGCCACACAGGATGTCAGGTTAACACAGCTTGATTTCTCCTGGTATTCAGATGAGTTTGTCTTTCTGGGCATTGTGCTGTGCTTTGTGCAGGCACTGTCTCTGCAGTACAAAAATACAAAGGCTGTAGAAGGAGAAGGAATAGGAAAAGAGTGACCTGAGCTGATCTCTATAATGGTATAGAGCATGTCAGCAGCAGTGCAAGAAAGTTGACCGTAGGAATGAACAAATCAATAACTAAATTGCTGTTTGAAGTCTGTAACAAAGTCCATCAGCTCAGGATTCCTCACCAGTCTTTCAGATCACCTGCAACACCTTGTTTGCTAAAGTGCACTTGACCATTTGTGCAGAGGAAGACACAGGCCACCGGGCCAGCCTGGTGATGTTACATCCTCCTCCCAGCTGTGCAATGTCCCTGCTTCCTTCCAGAAGCTTTGTAAGAACACCTGTGTCATACTTGATAAAACTGAGCAAGACGACATCTAAATGCTGTCAATGCTGTTAACTTGGTCTGCAGGGCAATACAATACAAACAAGGGGCTGTCTACAATACCTACTTAATTTCAGAGGGACCAATTACCCTTTCCTTAGTCCTTTATCCTTCTGACTGAAATCTGAACAATCATTGTGAACTCCTATGTATGTCTGACTTCTGCTTTAAACCTGGGGAAGACCAAATGTGCTTCGAAGCTTGTTCAGATTTCCAGCAGTTCTGATCATTCTAGTGGAAGATGTGCTCTTGGTCTACAAAACTCTCCTTGCTTACCACTGCTAAGTGTCATGATGTAAATGCTAAATGTGTTTGCTGTTCTTAATCATCCATTCACTGGAATACAAATATTTTAATAGTGGAAATGATGTTTCCAGGAAAGGGTCATGCATGATTTGTTAGACTATAAGGTCCCTGAATCGGTGACTGTGCCTCTGGTTGTGTTCATTCAGTGGGCAGTATAAAGAAAATTCATCCTGCACAGGATCCTTTGTTATTCCTGTGTTGGCAGCAATCGTAGAATCACAGAATCATAGAATGGTTTGGATCGGAAGGGACCCTTAACGGTCACCTAGTCCAACACCCCTGCAATGAGCAGGGACAATCATAGCAAGGCTACTAACCAAAGGTGATGCCAGAGGGTCTTGTACTAAGTTCTTATAATAAGATGCTCCTTTTAGCTAAGAAAAGCACTATGATCTTTCAGATACATGGATGAAAGGAATAGAATTAACTTCACAGTTCACATTATTTAGGTGTGGGTTTCAATCTTTATTATTAAGTAGTACATTGCAAAATAGTCTGTGATTTCCATGTTCCTTAGCTTACAAAGCTTCATGCAAACTCTTCAGTATTGTCAACATTGTAGGAGTTGTCACTGACTGACAGTCCTAGCACTTCTGACCAGCTTGGTGCCAACCTCCTTCGTTGAATCACTGTGGTTCACAACCCGAGTGTTCCTTGAAAATAAGATCCCATAGGCATAACAGTACACATATGCCAAACAGATCTACACAAAGCACAGCTACTGAGAAGCAGCATCCCAGCCTTTGTTCAAGAGCTCCATGGTTTAAGCATACAGCAGAGTTTGATGTTCCCCTTTTGCCATCACGTTTACTTCCTGAGAGCATCCTCATAACATACAGCTCTGTTAGGACAAGCGCCTCTTCAATTCTGTCTGTAGACTGGAATGAAGTCTATACTTCATGCTGAAAATTGAATTATATGTTGAAAACAATATTGTGGCCTAGAGCACACAGCTTGTGCAATTTGAAATGGGAATGCCAGGTCTAAATTTTCTGAGGAAAAAATAAATATCTCTCACTCCTTACCAGAAGAATTTTGGGAAACCACTTGAGATTTTATGTGATTTTTATGTGAGTTTATGTGCATTTCAATGGCCAAAAATTACTTTTTTTTGGAGATGAGTGTTATAACCCCTGTGGGTATGTGCACTGGGGCCAGGACTAAAGTCACAGACATGATCAACTGAATCAAAAGGAGGAAACCAGTGTCATTTTGACTCTTAGTGGAATTTTAGCAATTTATTATCCTTGCCCTCTGGATTTCACTCAGCATTCTCTAAGAAAATGTATCACAATATGTTCCTTTTGGACCAAAGAGAGTCAAGTATGGGTTTCAACTTATCGTAATGCCTTTGTTTTCATTCTTCCCATTCAAATTTTTATTCATGGGCCCTACATCCTCATTGGAACTATTACAACTCATAAAAAAACTGGTTTTCAGAGGTTTGATTCTATGGTTTTCATCACCTCAACCCTCAAAAGTTTATTCAGCTTCATTTTCATAATCACACAGCATTGTGTGAAAACTTGCTTTTTCTTCTGCAGGTTGGTCTGGGAAATTAATTTACTGATAGGATCTAGATTGCTGTTGAAATGTCACACAACTTCCTCATGTTCACAGATGTTGATCTCAATTCCTGACTTTGCTGCTAGAACTACTAAGGGCTGATTTTTATGGTGCAGTGTTCCTTTGTTGTATCCCTATGAAGCTGTAACAGACAGATGATGAATATGCTTTAGAAACGGCCTTTTGCTCAAAGGAAAAAAAAGGAAGACAGTTCAGTGCACAAACTTGCTAGGATTGTTGTGTACAATGACTACTGTATAGCAGGGCATGGCATATGTTTTACAAAAGATTAGGAGAAAATGAGGGCTATTCTGCGACAGCATGAATGGTCGATACTGCGAGTTCAGAATTAATCAACCTAATTAATCAAGCTGGTGTAGACCATCTTTATGGAAATGCATCAGCATACCTGGCAGATTATGTTACACGGGCAGATTGCACTGAGGTTGTGCAACAGGTTGATGTCCCCTAGTAAGATCACAGAAATAAAGAAGGATGGCTTCCAATACAGATCCTTGCTGGTAGTTCCTTGATCCTTCTAATACAGATCCTTGCTGATCTCCACAAGCATTCCACGACTCTGTTTTCAGTATCATATGCAAAAATATTTCCCTCTTTGGTATCTTCTACTTATTTATGGTATGTGTAATGTTCTTCTCACGCTAATCCATCTGGTAAGGCAAGATTTACTCTTATTTGATATTTAATAACTATGATTGCTATCTGCTGGGGCTTTGATTATGTATCCCTTTTTTTTTGTTCTATCCTTTTACTCTCAGTAATATTTTTAAAAGTCCCATCTCCTACATTATGCAAGATACATGCTTTGTGTTCTCAGTGTACCCCAAGATAAAAGAAGAGAGCAGATCACCTCAAATGTCACACACAAAGCTGATCCAGGGATCTAAACATTGATTCAAAATATTGCTCTGTTCTTCATTCAGTTATTCCCTCTATGTTCACCTGCTTCTAGATAGGCTGTGTGGAGAAATGAGCATAGCAGGACACTGAAGACAGTACATTTCTTTATAGTATTAACTGTGAAGCACTGTGGTGGCTACATAATGAGTGAAATGTAATCCAGCTGTCAGGGCAGTACAGGATCTTTGGTTTTGCATCCAAGTAACAGATATTGATGCTGATATTATTAGCTTCTTTCTCCTACAACTAAAATAATTAACCATTTATCACACATTAAGTAGTGGCATCTCAGTCAGCCTTTGGATAAAGGTAATTAGCTTCCATTAACATGTAAAACCCCTGCTTACTGTAGTTTGCATATCCACCTTTATAGTAACATAAAGGTCACCTTTAGCTGTGACAGCAAAAGATAAAGTTCTACATTTCCAGGAAAAGTACTTTAAATTTGGTTGCTAATTTTGATAAAACTTGAGCCTGACTTTCTGAGGTACTGGGAGCTCAAAGGTGGAAGCAATCAGAAAAATGCAGCACCTGAGAAAATCGGAGCCAGAACATTTCAAGCTGAGCCACAAATGAATGGGGAAGTAAAATTAAAAACACTCTCCAGTAAGTCTAGCTCTAGGGAAGTTTAAAATTGCTCCTCTTTACTTCCTTATGCTTATTTCTGGATCTCCTTCACTAATTTTTCTGATTATACTACATGTTAGCATGCTTTATTCAAAGTAACTATTTCTTCTTATCTATTATCTTACTAGTTTTGTTATAAATGTTGTCCCTCATTTTTGGCTTTTTGCTTTTTAGATCTGTTGACCTGTATACAATACTGTAAGCAGTAGTTTGCTTGTTATTGTAACAGGAAGATACTCTAAAACTGACCTTTCTTCTTTTGCATTATTTCAGGGCTGTTGGTTTACTGTCAGTAATACAAGGTACTTTGTACATGTCAGGCACTGCCATGTACAAAGTGAAAGAATAAGCAGCACCAAATTTAAAGTGTAATCCATTCAGAAGCAAACTTTAATTTGCCCATTCCAAGATTTCCAGTACCTCACACTGAGTTTCAGGTATCTGCTGATCTTGAGGTTAAAGAACTCAGTAAGTACCCTAAAAAAAGTATGCAAAGCAGAGTTGAAACAAAATCAGTGTTAGCAATTTTATAAATTAGATAGCTGCTAGTGCGGGCAGTTATAAAGGTCTGCTTTTGCATGTTTATGAAGCTCTCCTGCATGTGAGAAGGCAACTGCAATTGATTTTTACTATTCATGGTTAGAGTTTCAATGTGAAGTTGTTGCAAAAGCACTGCTGTGTCAGACTATTTAACTGTCTGCAAGCTACAGCTCCTGAAAGTCTCGTGGGTGAAATTGTGGAAATGTTTTCTTCCCCTTCATTGCCACAGGTCAGTGGTTCATATTCCATGTGCGCGCATGGGTTGCTTTAATCAGAATTTTCCTTTTTTTCTAGTGGTAGTTTTGTGTTTGATTTTATTTTCGCTGATTTTTAGATGCCATGGGCTTTGAAGCTGGCATGGCTCTAATCCCTCTCTGCGGGAGAAGGTAGTTGTTGCAAGTTCTGATACAGTCCTACTTTTGTTTCAGATACACCTGAGAAAATGTTCCAGATCCTCACAATGCTGCTGCTGGAAATGCAGCTTTATGTGGTTTCAGGTGAGAGAGAAACTGCCTTTCAATTCAACCAGCAGGACCAATGCAGCAAATACTGCTACACCCTCAGTACCTGGGCTTCAGCATCTCCAATGTTACTTGCTTGAATAGCCAGTGATGCCTGGAACCTCTACTTTGCAGTGTCTCACAGAAAGCACTGTGTATTAATTGAGCACAGGACTGTCGTCCATTGCTTTCCATAATCAGGCTTCTTTAAAGCACAGTGTACTGACAGCTGACATGCCCAGCATTAGCAGGTGTGGTTATGAGAGGGAGGATGACCAAAGCAACCTAAGCCAATTGTAAATTAAAACCACCTTGGTGTCAGGCACAGTGAAGTAATACCACGTGTACTTCCCTGTCCATCCCTGTAGCAGGAGCAGCTTGGCTGGCACTCAGAAGGGGCTTGGCACTCTTTCATACTACTTTTACTCTCATTATTGTTGTATAAAAGTGAATAAACAATCATTGCTAAGAGGAATTGAAGCTTTCCCTGTATCTTACAAACATATGAAATAAATGGAATGCATAAACAGTTGCATGAAGTTCTCTTTTAAATGTCAGTATCAGTATTTCCAAGTGCTTCTGAATTAAGTCTACTAATGTATGTTACATCCAATATAGAAAGTGGTAACAAGGTATATTGAATGATGTATCACAAATAACTCTCTTTTATCAAGACATTTTAAAATGACAAACTATTCATAACAATATGAACTTCAGATCTGGCGAATGGTTAAGAAGATTATTTTTATATACTGTCTGTAATACCATTGCATATATCTGAGACGATGCATGGGATCAAATGATACTCACATGGTCCCTCTTTGTGGAAGACTGTAATTCCTACATAGCAATTCTTTCAAGTTATATGTGTTTATCCAATGCAACTCTATTTGTTTCACAGGAATTACACTGGATATTCTCTTTGTAAAGGATAATGAAATAAAACTTTCTATTTCCATAATTAAGTGTTGTTTTTACTAGAATCCTAGGATATATAAGATACAATCATAGTCTTATAGAAGTGCTCCACCACTGACACAGCCTTAAGTTATTTCTTAAATGTAAAAAAAACCCCAAACCTTGCTCATTTTGTCCTTGCCTTTCAGACTCTGTAATCAATACAGAATAGAGATGATTTACTGTAAGTACTACTGACATGGTAAAAATGTTAGTGTGAATAGGGACAAAAAATGCTTAAACCTTATAGTCAAAACAGTAACCTATGCCTGTCTACATGACACCTTTTTCCCCAAGAAAATCAGAACATGTTTTAATGCAACAAATGAAACTGTTTTCTTTTCTTGCTATAGCTTTATTTACAGTTGAAGTTCCTCAACAGCTATACGTTATAGAGTATGGGAGCAACGTGACCATGGAATGCAGATTTCCTGTGAATGGCTCATTAAACCTAGGACTCCTGACGGTTGTTTGGGAGCAAAAAAGGAAGGACCAATTGAAACCAAAAGAGGTGTACACCCTTCGCAAAGGCAGGGCATTGCCTCCATCCCAACATCATGATTACACAGGAAGAGCAGCACTTCTGCACAGTGAACTGAAAATGGGACGAGCTATCCTTCAGATCACCAGCGTGAAGATCAGAGATGCGGGATCATACCTGTGTCTCATTGACTATCAAGGTGTGGACTACAAGTACATTACTTTGGAAGTAAAAGGTTAGTGGCTGAACTAAATATAAGTATATATTCGTTGAAATGTCTTTACTAAATCTCTACAGGCTAGTAGAAATTTATTAATTTGGAGGAATTTGTTGCTAATCTGTTGCTAATTCTCTCACCAAGACTCTGTGGTCAACCCCCAAGTGAACCAAAGGAGGTGTTTCAGTGCCAGCTAGTCTTTGGTTCACAGGCCAGCTGAGCTCCTCTAGAAGCAGCCTGTGAGAATGAGTGAGAATTACTGTTTCCTTCATCCCTCCCCCTTCTTCCCATGCCCTCTTCTCTAGTGCCCCTAGTCCCTGCCTCTCCTTTGACTCCCTGCCCTTTTGGGCCACCACTGGCTATTACCAAAAGTTTCTCAGAGGCACTTTAATTTACTTATGAGCCCTGCCACAACTACCCAAGTGTCTGGGAATTTCCCAAGTGACTGCAGCTCTCATAGCACGGACATGTGATTTTCTGTGTTCATCAAAGCCAGACAGACATCAGTATTAAACATGCATGTTACTAGATAGCATGATAGACCAGTCCTTTGAAAGGCCTCTGATGTTTCTTACTAACTGCAGAACGACCATGTGATACAAGGCAGCATTCATTTCCCATCCAGGTATTTAAATAACAAGCTTTGTCAAATGCAGGAATGGATACAGCCATTCTAAAGAATCACATTGGTTCCTCTGAACTGTCCCCACAGGAGTTCTAAGTTCATTTTGTTCTAATTAAAATTAAAACATCACACATGTTTATAAGCTATGATAAAACAAACATTTAAAACAGCCTTTTTCTTGAAGTGGCATGTTCAGTAGGTGAAAACAGAATCCCATGAGACTTCACCTGCGTCCTCTGTATTGATAACTTATAAATTCAGTGTGAACTGCTGCCTTGTATAAAGTACTGAAGTAAGTTCTGTCACTGTAGGTGTGAGAAGGATTGTATAGCTAATATTTAATTGTTCTACTAAACATCCTTCATAATTTCAAATCAGTGTTCCTCAGATACAGCCACAGGCAAAATATGGGACTAAAGGGAAGGAAGGAAAGTGAAGTGGGAAAATTACTATCATTGCATCAAGCAATTTCACTCTACCTCTTCTTGTGCAGCATCTTACCAGAGAATAAAAACTCAAGTAATGAAAAAAACAGGTGAAGACAAGTTTGTTTTTATGTGTCAGTCAGAAGGCTTTCCTCTGGCAGAGGTTTTTTGGCAAAATGAGAAGAACTCCAATCTCAGTGGATCTGTAAATACCACCTATACACTGACCACAGATGGCCTCTACAATGTCACCAGCATTCTGACGTTAAAACCAAATATGAGTGAGAACTACAGCTGTGTGTTCTGGAATAAAGAACTGAATGAAGAAACTTCAGCTCACATTTCCACTTTAGGTTTGTATCAGCTTGAATTTGTACAAGACAGAGAGTGATTCTACATGCATTTTGTCCTCCAGACACAAGCGGTGTCCCCAAGGGGTCAGCTTCAGGGCCAGTCTTGTTTAATGTCTTTATCAATGACATGGATGA